ATGAAAATTAATAAAATATAATTATAGAAAAAAAATTAAAAAAAGATGCAAAAAAAAGAGAAATATTTTGCCCTAGGCTAGGCTAGGCCAGACTTTGGTGGCCTAGTTGTAAGAAGCTGTGCTGCAATCTCAAAGGCATGCAGTTCAAATCCACTGGCAGCTCCATGGGAGAAGGATAGGCAATCTCCTCCCATGAGATTTACTGCCTCTTAAAACACACTGGAGGATGAGCTAAGTGTTGGTTCCAACTCAATGTCACAAAACAACAACAAGGTTGGACTAGCATGGAATAAGATTTTTGCAAATGAGCAAGCTTTTCCTATATATATTTTTTAATTTGTAAATATCATTTTTATTATTTCTAGAAATTCCTTGAATCTTAAATTCAGAATATCTTCAAAGAAGGAAAACACTTTGAAATATCTGAATCAAGATAATTCTTGTTTTAGGTTAGAGTAAAAGAAAGCATAGTTCTTCAATAAATTATTGAGTTTTTGTGGTCCCCCTGCCCCCCGTTTTCTTAAGAACTTCATCTGTTCCCTTTTCTACTCTTCGAAACTGAAAACAAAATAGAGAAGAAAGTGTGCTTATCACAAGTGAGATGCCAAAGTGAGAAGAAGGAATAAGGTTTTAGAAAAACTCTCTCATTGTCGTCCAATTGGAACCGACTCATAGCTGACCCTCCAGCCATTTTTCAGAGATTGTAAATCACACAGGAGGAGATTGCCCATCATTTCCCCACATAGCCACTGGTGGATTTGAACCATCAGAAAGGTGCAACCTTTGTATTGGCAGCAAAACTCCCTATGCATTATGCCACCACAGCTCTGTAAGTTTGAAGAAGGTTGGCCAATTGACTGTGAGTTGTTCTCAATGGCGGCTGCAGTGCAAGTGAGGAAAGAATTGCAGGATGTGATCATTGAGGGTTTTATTTTCTCTTTTCTCTCTTGGTTTTTTTTTTCCTGTTTTTTTTCCTCATTTTTAAAAATTATTAAATTTTATTAATTTT